TCTCCAGGGTACCTGTAAATATCTTTTTCAAGTTTACTGAGACCTTTCTTTTGGCTGTATTTCTGTACTGGCATAACGTCTGTAAAGTTGGAAGGTGTATGTGTTTGAACATTGTGTTTGGAATAGCAAAAGCCAACCTTAAAATGAGCCTGCTTTCAAATACATATTCTTTAGGCTAATTTTCAATTAAGTAGTAAAACTTTGCAACAGCACATGGTCAGCTTTGTCCAACTCGGGTCTCAAGCAGTAGCAAGGATCACGATGTTCACCCTAGGTTTACTGAAGATGAATAGGAACATTTTGAAATACTGCAACCAGGTGATCGCTTTAGGAAGCGAGACTTTGAGCCTAATATGTCAATAGTATCATGTCAGTATCTGATCAGATCTGAATTGCTAGAAGTCTGTTCTTCCTAACAAAAGACAAATATAAGACATTAACAGTTATATGCAGTGTGGGTTTTTTAGGTGGCAGAGGTAATTTATTTGTAAAAGTCCACAACAATATAAAACCCCCTCAAATTTTAATGCTGACAATGTAGATTATGTGTTACTTGTTTTATACACATACTTGATGTAATTGTGACTAAAACTAGTTACCTTTACAGTGTGCTCCTCGAACTGTCGTAGAGCTAGCTTGCAGCTGGAACTGCATAGACAGGAGAAAGATTAGTGACATTTCAGGGATAACTGCAGAAGCAACCAGGAACAAACTGCTGTCAAATGCATGAAGTGTGCCATGGTATATCTTTCCATAATGTGTTGGTTATTGAAAACCCAAACTGCTGAAATGCCAAGTGTTGTGATAATAATTACAAAGAGATGCTGGTTTTGTACCCTTGAAACTGAAGGAATGTAGGAAGTGTAAGCCCCCCCCCAAAGGCAAGTGGCATTTCTTAAAATAGCTTGCTGGTTGCTCCTCAGATTTGGAGTTTGCGTATGTAGCAGTCTCACCATACTCGGAGCATTACAAGATGCACAGAGAAAGTGAAATATAATCATTTCCTTATGTTCCCAGAGGGGGAAGTACTAGATTTCAAATCTTTTCTATGTGGTTGTATCTAATAAATCAGGAATTTTAATTGTTTTCTTTAATCTATAGTAAGTGTTTGTAATAGTGTTTATTGAAGAGTGATTTGAGTGTTTTGCTCTTAAAAGAGCTTGAAGTTTACTGCAATGTACTCTTTATGAGGGAGGCACTTTAATATAAACCAGGTGAAAGCATGATTATTTTAATAGCAATCTTTATAAAGTTTCCATTATGTTCTCATTGCTTTCTCTGACTGAATGTGGAAATTTAATGAAAAGCTTAACTCACCTGCTATCACATCTTTAGACTTGTTTAGTAATTGTATGCCCATACTTATTTTTGAGTAGGCAGTTGTATGCTTACTTAATTTTGTCATTCAGCTCCAGAGTCTTAGATGGTTTGTGTAAACAGCTTGAGCATCATATAAATAATGCTTAAAGGCAACACTTAGTGTGTACTATCTAAAACAATACAGTGTGCTTTCCTTTAAAGACCAGGGCTTAAGGCTGTTTTGTAATTTTACTGGATTTGCCTCTATTGAGGTAGGAAGAGATCATTTTGTGATACTCTTCAAAATTCCACTACGAAATTGAAGCCTTGCTGCTCCCACTGTGGAAGGCGTTGTGTCCACCTGGCTGGATGTTCAGTAGGAGTGTACGTGAGAAAATGTTTTCAACCAGACAGGATTTTTCTGAGTATTACATAAGCATGTATACTTAAAATCAGGCAGATGCTGTTTCATTATAAGTGTGCAGATACTTTATTCTCTTCTCCCTTCCTTCTAATCATACAGCCATGAGTGTATCATCTATTGTGAAACTGTGTGATTAGAACAGCGTCCAAAAATTCCGACCGATCTTTACATCCAGTGTACTCAGCAGCTCATGCAGAGAGATACACACGCCTACAAACTGCTTGTGGGTTCCTTAACCTGTGTTGCACTAGGCTTGCTGCACCCCTGTGGTGCTGTTGTCTTTTGGGGGACTTAGCCGCTTGCTTGGGCTGTTGGAAGTTGTGCAGGAGGGCACTGTGTCAGTGGCAGAGTGGACACCTATACTCTTAACCTGCCTTTCTGCTCTCTTGCTAAACTAGTGCTGGACTCTAGAAACCAGTACCCACTGTTTGAATTTTTGTCCCTACTACACAGGGTAAAAAAAGACATTCCCAAGAGAACTGTAGGGCCAATTTGTTATATCTGAACGTTGATGTTTTTTCCTAGGGCTTTATAGACTGAGGAGGCTTTGTGAATAAGCCTTGGAAAAATCCCTGTCTATGGAGATAGTGGAAATTATTAGAGCCTGTTTGTGTAAAATGTGTTTTATTAGAAAGGTGGACCTAATAGGTGATTTAAGATGAGGAAGATTTAAGGAGAAAATGCAATCTCCACCCTTAAGGAAATAAACTCAAGTGCCTGAGGTTAAGCATGTTTATTTGAAGAATGTGGTTTTGGCATTAAGAAACAGATGCTTTTTATACTATAAGGAACAATACATGGAATAGGTTAAGTATTTCTGTGCTGGTTGAATCGCATAAGCTTTATGCAATTTGTTTAATTACCAATAATAGGACTTAAGGTTACTTAAGTAGAATGTCTTTTTGCATCTGCTGTGAATTGAATCTAAGTGGAAAAATAATCCTGTTAATGGTGCTTGGTATCTAAGTTACAATGCAGATTTAAAATACAAGTGCTCGAGTAGTCCGGCTTTGAAAGTCTGTTTCAAGTGTCTCTGTAAGCACAGTTGATGTTGTACTTGAAGCCTGGATATGTGAGCATGCAATATCGTTTTGAAAGAAAAAAGTATGCAAGTAGTCCTGTATGTTTTGTTTCTTTTGGAGAAGTTAAGTTCTGGATTATAGATGCTGTAAACATACTGCAGTTTTCAAGGATGGCAATTTACCTTGTTACTCGAGGCCAGAAATTTATTTGGAGTGACAAGTAACAACAGAAGGACAAATTCTAACATTTCAGCTACTTCAGCAGCATATTTTAAAGCTGAAAAGTGTCAAACTGATGAAATGTAAAATTAAGAAAAAACTAAGAGTGCTGATAGCATGCCATTTGTCAAAATACTGATGTGTGGTCAATAAAACGGAGCAGTATGTTGGTATATGTTGAGGGGTTTTTGGTGCTTTTTTGATTTTTTTTCCTTGTTGTTTGGTTGGTTGTTTTTTGGTAAGAAAAATCACTTGAGTATGCACCAATGCAGAGTTTGTTTTAAACACTATAGACGTAATGCACTTTCCAAATAGGTTCTTTTCTCCCCTTGTAATACTAATGCATTTCTTTTGGGTTGTTTTTGTTGGTGTTTTTTTTTTTTTTTTTTTTTTAACATTTAAAAGCAAAGATGTTCAACTCTTTTTTTGTGCTTATTGGCCACTCTGCTTTTTCCTGGACTAGTAAATCATATGCTGCTATTCCCCCTCCATCATTACATAATTTAAGCATAACAATTCCATAACGTGTGCAATATATTCTTTAGCGTATCTATAACAAATTCAACACTTCTGTGATGTATTAAGCAACTGTGTATGCATAAAAGAAATATTTCAAGTGTATGCAGGACATTTGTGTAGTTCCAGCACTGCTGGACTAACTGCATGTGTTTGGTGCAGGTTTTCTGCGTGTCTCTTGGTGGCACAGCACTCTTTGGGGTGCAGAACCCACCACATGAGTACAGGATGATTGTTTTGCATTTATGCAACATATCTGATGTGTCCGGCATCATTTGGGATTCATTACTTAAGGAAGTTGCAGGGCGGGGTAGAGGACCATACTAGCTTACATAAAGTTTTAGCTACTTCCAGATCAGTTTGAAAATTGTCTAACCCCAGACCAAGGAACAGCCAATGAAGTGTATATGGATCACAGGCTGCAGATTGATCAACCCTAATTTAGAGGTCATTGTGCCACCTTGCAGTTAGATAGCACAGATATAAAATCATTGATGTTCACACGCGTGTAGAAAGCTGTACAGGTACAGTATGTGCATAGTACAATTTTTATATGCTCCTATGATTTACATTTTGTACTTTAATTGATAAGGTTAAGTATTGATATTCTCTTTTAAAAATTGTACCTGCATTTTAAAATTTACAGAATGGGTGAGGTTGGAAGGGACTTCTGGAGGTCATCTTGCAACCCCCTCTTCACAAGCTGGGCTCTAAGAGCTCCTTGCCTGGGACCATGTCCAGATGGCTTTTGAGTATCTCCAGAGACAGAGACTCCACAACCTTTGGGCAATCTAAAGTGCATTGACAATTCACTTGATCCTTGCCAGTTAAGGCATGAAATCAGTGTATATACAATAATAGCGTATTCATAGTATTTCCCCCTGAAAAATTTCTAATGTAAAAACATGAGTACTGATTGAAAACAGAAGCCTGTCTAGCCTAATATCCTGTCTTCAGTAGTTTCTGTAAGCAGATGTGTAAGGAAGACCAGGGCATTCACATGAATGCTTTTAGTTTTTTTGAGCCTTCAACATTTTTCAGGTTAAGATCATTCTGAACCATATTTAATTCCTGTTGAACTAGCAAGCGTTAACAAGTTTCTTTCCTCTCTATTTATCTAACATCCTTTTGAACTTCTGCAGTTCTTTGACATTTTTTGCACACATGCAAATATTTTTGCATATTCAGTATGTACATTGGCCAGCAGGAAACAAATTTACTGAATGGAAAACAATCTCCTTTTCTCTGTTTTGAATTATACTCCCCGTGGCTTGAAAAGTCTTGTGGCCATAGTTGTGTCACAAAAAAACAGTGGCCCCTTCCCCTTTCACTTCGTTTGAGCTGTTCTTACAGATTTATGCTTTCTTGGATATTTTACTCACTTGGAAACATGCAGTATATTCTGTAATGCAGTTTTCAGAGGGTTTTTGTGTGTGGGAAATCTTATTTTAATGTTAAAATGATAAATTTCTTTCAAAACAATGCTGACTAGGTTTTGTTTGGTTTGGTTTTTTTTAAAGCCTAAATTGTACAGGTCTGTAATTGAAGATGTTATCAATGATGTCAGAGAAGTTTTTCTGGATGAAGGAGTGGATGAACAAGTTCTTATGGAACTCAAAACAGTAAGTTGCAGGTTGAAAGTTTTTTTAATAGACCAATACAGCAATTGGTTTTCAGATCTGCTTACAGTTGTACACAGTAAAAATACTAATTTTGCAGTTAGCTAAGGACTGTATTAATCTGCGTATCTGTAGCCCCATGTTATTTGAATTGCATTGCTATATAGAGAGATACACTCACCTTGTTTATTTTCCCCAATCTGGCTTGTCAAACTTGACATGAACTAACAGCAGGCATCCAAATTCACAGTGTTATTTCGGTCCTCAAAACGTTGTATCTTTAAGAAAGAAAGGGGAGAATATGTTTATTTTAGAGGCATACAATTCTTAAGGTTTCTCTGCAGGAAAAATAAAATGCCTGCTCTGCTCGATGTTTTTGTTTTTCTGAAGAAGAGTTAAATTGTCAGATGTTTGCATGTATGGTTTGTGGCTTGCAGAAGTATATTGTTTTTGGGAGGTGGTACATAATAAATTGCATTGTGTGCATCACACTTTTCTGGAGCTCTCAGATTCAGAACTGTGTTACATGAAGTGGCTTTGAACTGTTACCAGGGGTCCAAACGAAAGGCAGGATATTGACCTTAGCTCTAATGGGTCTCCCATGGCATTCTTCAGATTTTTCCTGAGCAAAAGAAGCCATTTAAAAGGGAAGAGAAAAGGCAGAAAATAAGGAAAAAAAGGAGGAAATAAAGTAAAATGAAACTGGGAAAGTAGGTGCCTGCTTATCTCAGCTGCTGGATAAGGACTTCAGAAAGCGGGACATCCCATGCTTACAGTATTTATGAAATAATAAAAAATGGATAGAGTGGGGAAAGAATTTTGAGTTTGGCTGACTTAGTTCCATGAAACCATGACCTGGTGTGGTGGAAATGGAGCAAGCACTATAAGAAAAGCAACTTGGTGTTTGTGTCACAGACATGTTCTGCAAATGATGTCAGGAAAGATTGAATGAGGAGACAAGAAGAAAAAAGAAGAGGTTGGCTTAGGGAGCCCTAAGTAGGATGTGAAATCAGGAGCCCTGGGTGCCTGTAGTCTTTTTGACTCTGATTTATTATGAAATCCTTGCATTGTTGTCTTTTTGCAAGATTTGGGGTTTTTTTGCATCTGTGGCTTTTCTTGGGAGACTTGTCAGCTGACATCAAGAAGGGCTGGAGAAGTTCAGTTGGATACTCTGTTAGAAACCGTGTAAATGCTGTACAGTAGAGGCATTATCTTGGGTATACTGGTAGTTTCTGTTGAAGTATGTTACAAAGCAGTAGCCTTCAAGCAACTCTTATTGAGGAGTTCTAAGAAGAAATGACTTGAATAAAGCTGTAATAAATAATTATTTTTGTGGTTAAAGAGTTAAGAAAGGAAGAATGTAGAGAAGTGAAAACTTGAAGGCTAATTTAAAGTTACCAGTTTATTAATGCTTCTATTAGGGTTGTTACTAATCTTCCACACTTAGAAGAAAGAAAGAATGTTAAAGCTTAAGCTTGGACTGACAGTTCTTAAGGGATATTTAGTTCCTCTTCTTAAAACATTACCTCTGTGGAGTTATCTCTTCAGTCTATATTTGCCTGAAGGCTTTTTGGCCAGTAGACTGCATGAGATAGTGAAAACAAATTTGATTTTTTGGATTCTGTCTTTATATAGTAACAAATCTTGTTGAGTAAAAATCATACACAGAGATTTCTCTTTCCTTTTCTAAACTAGCTGTGGGAGAACAAGCTGATGCAGTCCAAGGCTGTAGATGGCTTCCATTCAGAAGAGCAGCAGCTTTTGTTGCAGGTGCAACAGCAGCAACAGCAGCAGCAGCAACAGCAGCATCATCACCACCACCATCATACACAACCTCAGCCACAGCAGACTGTGCAGCAGCAGTCTCAGCCACAACAAGTCCTTATTCCAGCATCTCAGCAAGGTCAGACTTACTTTCTCATCTCTCTGGCAAAAGACTCAAATTAGACCAACTTCTTAGCATATTCTAAATCTAGGACAGGGTGTTTATCTGATGGGTAACTTCGTGTCTTTATGTTAAACCTTGTCTCTACTTACCTCTGATTAACAGCTCAACATAGCTCTCTTGGCAAAAAATAACTTAGTCATATTCTTCAGAAGATTTTGGAAAAGCTGAATTCTTCTCTTGAACTTCTATATAACCTCTGTTTTCAGAATACATGACTTTCAGATTCTATTAAAAATCCATTAGCAGCTCTGTAACCTCAAACCAATATACATATGCAGTCGACAATTTAGTCATGAGGTAGTAATGTCGTTAGGAACAAATTAATTAAAAAATACATTATTGTTTAGCATAAGTGGATGCTAGGTTATGAAAAACATTTGTATAACAGTCTTGAGTATATATAGGAGATGGTTTTTCATGTTAAACAAGCTTCAAGTGAAAAGCATAATGTCTGGGTATTTTTGTGGCCTTAAAAGATGGCACACTGTGTAGGTGTGGATGTTCAAGCCATAACAGAATTGTTTCTTGTAATTATTGTCTTGTGTATTCTTCATTAATAATTTAAGGAAAACATTTTCACCAGTTACAATTTAATTTGAAAACTAAGATAAATACTACTGGATTTTACTGCATATATGCTGTGTAAACAAATCTGCCACCTGTGAAAAGCTTGAGTTGAGTTTTCAGAGTGCTGTTAAAATTGCAGTGTAAAATGATTGTGGTAGTCAGTTGCAGGCTGCAGTCTTTTAATCAGATTTCATGGATCAGAACCTATGTTGTTATAGGCACAAAGATAGCTGTGATTTGATCTCCTCCCCCTCCCAAGCCCCCCCACCCCAAACCCAATCACAATATATTCAAAACAGAAGAGGACTAGAGTGACAAAAACCTGAAGTTGGGGTTTTTCTTCTTGGTGGTTTGGGGGTTTCTTTGTTGTTTTTTTCTTGGGGTGGGGTGGGTGTTTGGTTTGGGGTTTTTTTAAAATGATTTTTTTCTTCTTATAGTACTTAGGTGGCTTCAAGCAATCCAGGTGTCTCAGTTTAAGTTATAGTCAGCAGAGCCTGGAAAGTCTATTTGCCAAGACCTCTAGTGGCTCCTTAGCTGAATAGCTGCAACTACTGACCAGGTTTCCCTCCACTAATACGGAGGTCACTGTTCTCCTGATTTGTGTCTTAAGATCCTGCCTATAGTAATACACTTGAAACTGATTTTATTGTTGCACAGTGTTGTGGCTTATGATAAAATGACAGTGTGGAGTCTAAATGAAATTAGGATATCAAAGCACTTTAATCACAGACGTAGTTTTATGAACTACTTGACTTCCGTGTTCCATGGGGGAGATGGTGTAGTAGTTCATTGCATGACCTTGCACAAGTTCGCGCAGGCAGGACAAGTGGACAGGGCGCAGTTCATCTCCTGGGTCTAGAACTTACCTGAGCTAGTTTCATCTTACTGTCCTCCACGAGTAGACTGAGCTATGGTCTCCACTCGGGTCAAAATCACCACCAGAAAGAACGTGGAGACCCAGATGGAGCTGCCACTTAAACATGCAGCGGTCCAGGTCCCAGGCTGCAGGGAGTGCCTGAGCCTGTCAGTCCTGGCAGTGACAGCACCTGTGTGCACTGTGATCAGCTGGATGACCTGCTCTGGTGGCTGAGCTCAAAGAAGAGGTTGAAAGATTAAGAAGCATTAGGGAATGTGAAAGGGAAATTGATTGGTGGAGTAACACATTAGCACCTCTGAAGCAACAGGAGCAAATGGAGGCTCCAGAAGAGGCAGGCAATCCCTCACCTTCTCCCTACTAGGCAGAAGGCGGGGACCTAAGAGTTGGGGGAGGCTGGAAGATCCTCTCCCGACATCCCTCACCTTCCATGGTGCCCCTTTACAACAGATACGGGGCCCTGGAACTTCTGAATGAAGTAGAGAAGGACAAAGAAAATGAGTCAAACAAGGAGAAATACCAAGGTGCACCAAGGCCGGGTTGCTCTAGGCCAGGTATTTAAACCAGTACTACAGAGAACCCCAGAAGAGTCATTGCAGTGGGTGACTCCATTCTGAGGGGTGTCAAAGGCCCAATATGCAGACCAGACTCACTTCATAGGGAAGTCTGCTCCCTCTCTGGGGCCTGGGTGAAGGACCTCATGGCAAAACTCCCCACTCTAGTGAGACCCAAGGACTACTACCCTCTCTTGGTTTCTCAGGTGAGTAGCAACAGTATTACCAGGAGAAGTCCTAAGTCAACAAAGACAGATTTCAGGGCCTTGGAGAAACTGATTGAGGAGTCAAGGACACAAATCATGTTCTCCTCCATCCCTTCAGTTGGGATGGATGAAGAATAATACAGGAAAAGTCAACAGATGAACTTGTGGCTCCAAGACTATTGTTGCCATCATGGCTTTGACTCTTTCAATCATGGGTTAGCATACAGGACACAAGACCTTTTGGCATCAGATGGGATCCACCTGTCCCAGAGGGGAAAAAGAATCTTGAGGCAGGAGTTAACTGGGCTCATTGAGAGAACTTTAAAGTAGATTTGAATGGGGAAGGGGACAAAACATCAGCCCATCTGAAGTGCATGTGTACCAGTGCACACAGCATGGGTAACAAATGGGAGGAGCTTGAAGCCATGATGCACAGAAAAATTATGTAGTGGCTCTCACAGAAACAGGGTGGGATGTCTCCCATGACTGGAGTACACCAGTTGGTGGCTACAAGATATTTAGGAGGGACAGACAAGGAAGGAGAGGTAGTGGGGTGGCTCTGTATGTTAGGGACTGTTATGATTGCTTTGAGTACAAGTGTAGTGAAGACAGGGTGGAGTGTCTTTGCATTAGAATCAGGGGGAAGGCCAACAGGGCAGATGTTGTAGTAGGAGTCTACTATAGGCCACCCAACCAGGACAGAGAGGTGGATGAAATATTCTGTAGGCACTTAGGAGTAATCTCACAAATGCTTGCCCTTGTTCTTGTGGGAGACTTTAACTTCCCAGACATCTGCTGGCAATACACCACAGCAGAGTGGGACCAGTCCTGGAGATTCCTGGAATGTGTGGGAGACAACTTCCTGACGCAGCTGTTGAGTAACTGACGAGAGAAGGTGCCCGGCTGGAGCTCCCCTTTGTGAACAGAGAAGGACTGGTGGATGATGTGGCTGTTGGAAGCCAACTAGGGAACAGCGATCATGAAATAATAATTTTCTCTTCTTAGAGAGCCCAGGAGAAAGGGCAGCAGAACTGCCATCCTGAACTTCTAAAGGGCTGACTTTGACTTCTTGAGGCAACTGCTTGACAGAATCTCTTGGCAGGTGGTCCTGATGGGTATAGGGGTTGAGGAAGGCTGAGCACTCTAAGAAGGAAGTCTTAACGGCACAGGAGCAGGCAGTCCCCAGGTGTTGTAAGAAAAGCCAGCAGAAGAGAAGGCCACCCTGGCTGAATAGGGAGCTTTGGCTGCAACTGAGGGAGAAAAGGAGAGTTTACAGCCTTTGGAAGAAGGGGCTAGCCACACACAGTGATTACAAAGATGCTGTGAGGCTATGCAGGGTAGAAATCAGGAGGTCTAAAGCCCAGCTGGAAATTAATCTGGCTTCAGCAATCAAGGACAACAAGAAATGTTTCTATAAGTACATCAACAGCAAAAGAAAGACCAGGGAGAGCTCCATCCCCTGCTAGATGCAGGAGGAAACATGGCAACAAGTGATGAGGAAAAGGCTGAGGTGCTTAATGCCTTCTTTGCCTCAGTCTTTAATAACGAGTAGTTGTACTGAGGGAATTCAGCCTCTTCAGCCAGAAGACAGAGGCTGGGAGAACGAGCCCCCACAATCCAGGAGGAGACAGTCAGTGACCTACTGCATCACATAGACACATGCAGATCTATGGGGCCAGACGGGATACACCCAAGGGTGCTGAAGGAGCTGGCTGGGGTGCTCGCCAAGCTGCTTTCCATCATTTACCAGCAGTCCTGGCTGACTGGGGAGGTCCCAACAGATTGGTAATTGGCCAGTGTGATGCCCATATATACGGGTCAGAAGGATGATCTGGGAAATTACAGGCCTGTCAGCTTGACTTCGATGCCTGGGAAGCTGATGGAGCAGCTCATCCTGAGTGCCATCACACAACACATGAGGGACAACCAGATGCTCAGGGCCAGTCAGCATGGGTTTATGAAAGGCAGGTCCTGCCTGACAAACCTGATCTCCTTCTGTGACAGGGTGACCTGCTTATTGGATGAGGGAAAGGCTGTGGATGTTGTCTACTTTGACTTTAGCAAGGTCTTTGCCACCGTTTCCCACAGCATTCTCCTGGTGAAACTGGCTGCTCGAGGCTTGGATGGGCACATGCTTCTCTGGGTAAAAAAACTGGCTGAATGGCTGAGCCCAAAGAGTTGTGGTGAACGGAGTTAAATCTGGTTGGCGGCTGGTCAGGAGTGGTGTCCCCCAGGGCTTGGTTTTGGGGCCGCTCCTGTTTAACATCTTTATTGATGAACTAGAGGAGGGGATCAAGTGCACCCTCAGTCAGTTTGCAGATGACACCCAGTTGGGTGGGAGTGTTGATCTGCTCGAGGGTAGGGAGGCTCTGCAGAGAGACCTGGACAGGCTGGAGCCATGGGCTGAGCCCAACTGGAGGAGTTTCCATAAGGCCAAATGCCGGGGGCTGCCCTTGGGCCACAACAACCCCCAGCAGTGCTACAGGCTTGGGGAGGAGTGGCTGGAGAGCTGCCAGTCAGAGAGGGACCTGGGGGTGTTGATTGACAGCCAACTGAACAGGAGCCAGCAGTGTGCCCAGGGGGCCAAGAAGGCCAATGGCATCCTGGCTTGTGTCAGCAATAGCGTGGCCAGCAGGGACGGGGAAGGGATGTGACCCCTGTACTCAGCACTGGTGAGGCCGCACCTCGATTCCTTTGTTCAGTTTTGGGCCTCTCACTCCAAAAAGGAAATTCAATGACTCGAGCATGTCCAGAGAAGGGCAGCGAAGCTGGTGCAGGTTCTGGAGCACAGGTTGTACGAGGAGCAGCTGAGGGAACTGGGGGTGTTTAGTCTGGAGAAGAGGAGGCTGAGGGGAGACCTCATCGCCCTCTACAGCTCCCTGAAAGGAGGGTGCAGAGAGCTGGGGATGAGTCTCTTTAACCAAGTAACAAGCGATAGGACAAGAGGGAATGGCCTCAAGTTGCGCCAGGGAAGGTTTAGACTGGATATTAGGAAGCATTTCTTTGCAGAATGGGTTATTGGGCATTGGAATGGTCTGCCCAGGGAGGTGGTGGAGTCCCCATCCCTGGAGGTGTTTAAGAGTTGGGTTGACATAGCGCTGAGGGATATGGCATAGTTGGGAACTGTCAGTGCTAGATTAACGGTTGGACTAGGTGATCTTCAAGGTCTTTTCCAACCTAGATGATTCTGTGACCTGGTGTAGTCACAGAGAGAGATCAGAATGATCGGCATGGTGATTCCTGCTGTCCTGTGTGTGGTCCTGGCGCAGGGTCATGAGATTTCCTTGGGCTTTTCTGACCTCCATGGGTTCCCTGAAAATTGGAGAGATGACCTTAGATCTTGGTGCAACATTGTGGGTCTTTCCTTCCCAGAAACTCTTCCAGAAACTCTTAGTTATCCCCAGTATTTTTAAGTGTCCTTGGTGATAGGATTGGATGGAGAATATTTGTCGATGATTAGTTTGTTCAGATTGCTCTGTCATTTTTCAGTTTACTGTCAACCTTCTTGTTCCATAGGCTTCGACAGTTTTGCACTTCTAGACAATGAACAGGTTGTTTGTAGACCTTAGCTATCTATTTTGTTTAGCACACAAAAACTATTTTATTATTTGGAACAGGTGGTTGATCACATTTCATCTGCTTCTGCTACATTAGAAAGACAATGAAAATCATGAGTTTACACGAACAGCTGTGCTAACTAGACCTAACTCAGGCTAACTGCTGCATCCTGTTAATATACTCTTCATCTTGCAGTGATCCTTGTTTAAGTCTGTTTTAAGAGTTAACCACTGTCAGTTGATGATTTTGGAGAACTCTGATACTGGACAACAGCACGTTTATCAACATTTCACTAATACCTTTAATTTCAGAACTGTGTTTTAAATCTTGCCTTACCTAGGCTCAGAATAGGTAACTGAAGCGCTTGAAATAAGATCTGTAAAGCCAGAATAGCCATATTGCCTCTCAGAGCTGCTGTTGTATATTGTCCTGAGGATAAAAATATTATCAGAGACTGCTCAGTAGGTGGTTTTGTTATGAAGCTCAGCTGATATTTGGGTGGTGTTCTTTCTAAGTTATTTTGGCTTGGATGTTATTTTGGGCAGACTGCTTAGCTTTCATTTTCTGTTTGTAGCACCTCAGCAGCAAGTTATTGTGCCAGATTCCAAGCTGATACCACACATGAATGCATCAGGCATGGTAAGAAAAGCAGAAGTTTATACATGCGTACACTGTCATTATGTAAGTTGTTTTAGTAAACACAATATCTTAAATATAGTAAACAGTAAACACAAATCTGGTATTAGTCATCAGATGCTTAAAAGTAGTTTAGAGCACACTGCCATCTTTCCGAGTTTTGCTGCTTTACTGACAGTCTAGGAACAGTAATGCAGGACATTGGTTTTGATAACAAATCTAGGGTTTATTTTGATCCTCTGCCTTAAATGTGTTTAACTATAACTTTTTTTTAATCAGAAATTAAAGTACTGTTGGTATGAATCTGCTTGATGATATGCTTGTCATACACCGACGGAACACTATTAGAACACATCTAGCATAGTGTATTTGCTAGATGCAGGAAAAAACGTTAACCTCTTGGAAACTCAAGCTTATATCAAATGAAAGATTTTTTTAGCCATTCACATAATTTTTTTTCTGGTCACATTTGATTCACTAATTTTGTAATAGCGCATAAAACTGAGTCTGGTCATTTACACGTTTCTTGCAGCTTTTACCTCTAGAGGTTAATTTTGGTTATCTTGCCTTGCTTTAAGCTCACTCCCTAGTTTAATTTAAAAAAAAAAAATCGCTTGCAAAGTGATGAAAACAACAGCTAATACAAGTTAAATATGTGTATTAAGACCAGAATTCTTACTACTTCTATGGTAAAAGCACATGAAACAGTTTCATGATTAGTTAAAGCTGCAGCAGCTTGCTTAGCCTTCACCTCCCCATTGCTTGCTAACCTTACTGTAGAAGAGAGCCTGAACCTGAACTTCCTTACTTAAATAGCATGGTTTACCAAGAGGCCAAGACCACGTTAACATCTAGCTTTTCCTCATGTGTTTTACAACCATTTCAGTGTGATTTGTAACTTCACGTCTAACTGTTAAAACTTTTTTTTTTTCTGTCATTCAATTAGATCTTATTGATGGATATAGCAAAAATGAGTATGCCATGCTTTTAAAACTCTGCTGCTGTCAAAATGGGGATGAATTGTATACTGCAGAAGACTACTGTTCAGTAAATAGTTACAGAATCCATTTGGAATTAGTGTGTGTTTATTAGAAACATTTAAGTTGGTGTTAAAGAGTGGATCTGACAGACCTTGAGTATCTTGGGAGGCAGAGCATAATGAGAGTTTATTCATCTGCCTTTGTCTGGGACATGAGGATGCAGACAAGCACTTTTCAGTTTTGATTGGAGTTCTTTAATTTTTACAGTTGTAACTACTATATTGAAAGGTCAATATGGAGAGATCATATTTCATATAAACAGGAAGTATGTGCTCTATGTAGTAATAAAGTTTAAGTCCTTTCAGTAGCAAAGAGTAATTAGACATTGTTCCTTTATAGTGGGGAAAGGGAGGCTTTTCCATAGGCAGCTGAAGTTAGACCCTTGAAATGAAGAGGCCTCTGGAGAAGTCCATATCTGTGAGTTGAGGACTTAATGCAGATTTTTGTGTTCAGAGCTTCCATAATTGTGTTGGAATTCAGTTTCCTTGTAAGTTCAAATCATTACCCATTGAGTGTCTTCAGCTTTATTTTATAACCAGCTGTCTTGGGAGAAAAAAATAGTCATTCTGTGAACAGTCAGTACACTGTGTGCATATACTCACTCAAAAGAACTGTGTTATGTGGGACTTGAAATGCAAATCATTTACAGCATGAAGAAAAGTGCAAACCTGATTACTACTCCTTGTGAAAACAAGACAGAAGAACATGATTGTTGCTTCAATACCTTATGTTTCTTCTGATTTGTAGGCCCGTATCTTTAACTGCTTTGAAAAAGTGTAGGTAAAGTTGCCACATGTGCAATGCAGTGTTGTGCTGTAATAGTAGATTACAGAGAAGGCAGAGGAGAAAAAAAATACCTGCTGAGCTTACAGCTAAACCAAGAAGCCACATGGAGCTGGGTTAAGATGATGCTTAGTGGTTGTTGCTTCAGTCTTCTTCCTATTAAGGAAGAAGGAAAATAATTTTTATATGTAGTATAATGTACAGTTGATTAATGCCTTCATTTCAATAGCTGTAGAAACTTGTGAGCAATTACTATCAACAGCAGTAACAGTGTATGTATTTTCAGGCAGTATGTTGTGAGATGAAACACTGGCCATACCGTCTGTGGTCCAAAAGCTTTTCTTGTATTTCAGAGTGCGGCAGCCACTGCAGCTACATTGGCTCTCCCTGCTGGTGTTACTCCTGTTCAGCAGATACTTACAAATTCAGGTAACTGTCTTAACATTGAGACCAAACAATGGTTCTGAGAGTTCTTGGGAGGGAGAAATTCTGGGTTTTACTCCCTGCTATATATTGCTATATATTGTTAAAAAGCAGAACCTTTACAAAGTAGTGTAATCTCTTCACTGGACTCCTGGACTCTTTTGCTCACTGACTTGCTAGTTTTATGAACTTTGTGGTTCTGACCTAACAGTGGTGTGGGTTAGATCCTGTGCAAGTTTCTCCCACTTTTTATAGAAATGCGTGAAGTAAGAAGACAGGTGTTGCTGTTCCCCCACTTTGCATATTTCTGAAGTTTGTGATACATGGTCGGAGCACAGATAGTAGACTGGTTATAAAAAGGCAGGGTCCCTTCATCTGTGACTTCAGATAAGGAATGTCTTAAGGTTTCTTGTACCTGCTGTGATCTCACAGTGGAATTTCTAATTTTGCTGGAAATGCTAATTTTATTTTAGATTTATCATTTTTAAATGCTGTCATGTTGTACATTTAAAATATAATTAAATGTTACTTTTATGAACATCATATCTGATGCTTCATGTACTTTCGTATTATGCTGATTTTATAAACTTGGTTCTAGATCGATTCAGCGTGAAGAGTAAAGGAAGACCTGAGAAAGCTCATTTTCTAGAATCAGTTGCTGCTTTTGCCAGAGTAATCCATCTAGTCTGCTCAGAATCACCTGGGACTTAACTTTCCTACTTTAAACATTTGAATGTTTAATGGTTATATAGTTGAAATAAAATTAAATGTGTAGCTGTTCTAGAAATTAAAATCTTCCCAATTTTTAAGGAAGTATTTCTTCTGTTTGTCATAGTATAGAATAACCCATGGCTCACATTTTTTTACAGTCACAATTTTTTTTTCTTAAACAAGGGGCTAGGGCAGTCCCTTCTTTCAGTTATACTTAGTTATTTTAGTAAATAGGGCTTTGCATTTTGCTGTGGAGGGAAAACAGGAAATAAAATCAGTCTGAGGGAAATGTATGAAGTTCAGGATTATCTAATTTAATTTCTCTTCATCTTTCTGATGAGAAATGTGAAAAACTAATGTTGGAATATATCTTAGGTCTTGCTTTTCAGAGTTGGAGGCCACCTCTGAAGGTCCGTGAGTCTTAGATGTATTTTGTGAAGAAAGGTATTACATGTTAAAGCTATAGGGATAATAAAAGACTGGGTACAGGCATTACGGGAACAGAAAGGAGAGGTGGATAATAAGCATAAGGATAGATTTTTCAAAGAGACAACTGCACATTTATATTCCAAAGAAAGTTACACAAAGAGGAATTTCCTGTACTGTGGTAATCAGGGAAAGGAAAGGACATAATCTGAGAAGACCCTGGAAATAACACAGTTTTAGCAGTTAATAGAATTTTTGTGGTATTGTATACCTGTATTCCTATTTTGGTGTATGTTCATTTGTCTTTTTATCTGTAAAATATATCTTTTGAAACATAAGTTATGTTCATAAGTGGGAGCTAATATTTAAAATATTGTCTTGTGTTAAAGGATTAGACTTTGTCTTGCATATGTAAAATTATTTTTGGATTGCATACCTCATGATAGTATTTAGATTAAACAACCCTATTAGTTCTTTGTTTCTGACACAGCTGCAATAGCATAGTATTTTTTCACTGGTGAAACATAAATGCTCTCCTTTAATTGTCATTGGTGTTCTTCCAGAAAACAAGCTTCTAAACTAAGAAAATTTTAAAAGTTCATTTCTACACTGGATTAATTTGATGTTTGTTTTATTACAGGCCAGATCCTCCAAGTAGTTAGAACTGCAAATGGAGCTCAGTATATCATTCAACCACAGCAGTCAGTTGTTCTACAGCAGCAGGTCATACCACAAATGCAGCCTGGTGGAGTACAAGCACCTGTTATACAGCAGGTAAAGAAAAATTGAGTACTGTTGAAAGAAAAAACATGATAGTAATTACTGAAGAGGCTTGCATTTCTGTGAGCAAATTAGAACACAAAGTCAGAAATTTTTTTTATATATATATATATATATATATAAATAAAATCTGTGTTAAGTGTGTTTTTTAAAAATGAACAATTTTGAAATGTAATTTTCAGTGTCACTTTTATTTTTGCCAAATTCTGACTGGCTGCAATTTAAAATTTCTTTTGTGCATCTCCTAATGGCAGTTACAATGTGCATAATCCTAGTCTCCATCCTTTAAAAAGTGTGTATGTTGGTTAAATTGATTCTGTGTCACTTAACACATAGAAGAAAATACCCAAAACAAACACAGCCCCCACCTTGGTTATTCTGATAGTGAACACAGTATGTTTTATGAGGTTTTTTTGTTCAGCTGCAAGGTCAACTGTGTGTCCAGACTGTGTGAGCATTGAATTTAGCATTGTGTCACAGTTCTGCAGTTTAAGCATGAAAAAAAAAAATTGTAGAGAGTTTGAAGTTAAATGTTTTACGGAAAAGGTTTAAAAATAATCTTTTACTTGAATTTAAACATTCTGCTGCTGTGCTTGGAACTTGGGTGTGGTGGAAATGCTAAAGACAGTAGGTTTTCCTAGATTTAGCAATGCAAAATGCAGAAAATGAACAAGTAGTGAAGGAAAGTATGTTATTGGTGATTTATCTATCTGATGTAGGTGGAATATTGGTAACTTTCCTCTAATTGGTGTAAGTCAGATTGATACGCTTTAATTGTTTTATGTAAGTGATGTGGTAGTGTATTGTGATAGCAGCCACAATACTTGCAATGATATTCCATCAGGTTTTGGCTCCTATCCCTGGAGGGATTTCCCAGCAGACAGGAGTGATTATTCAGCCTCAGCAGATCCTGTTTACAGGAAATAAAACACAAGTCATACCTACAACAGTGGCTGCCCCTACACCAGCTCAAGCACAGATTCCTGCAGCTGGTCAGCAGCAACCACAACAACAACAGGCACAACCACAAGCACCACTTGTCCTCCAAGTTGATGGAGCAGGGGACACGTCATCTGAAGAAGAAGAAGATGAGGAAGAAGACTATGATGATGATGAAGAGGAAGACAAAGAAAAAGATGGGGGTGAAGATGGCCAAGTTGAAGAGGTAAACTTATTATTTCAGAAGACGGGAGCATGCTTGTGTTTCATTTTAATTTTTTTGCAATGTTTGAAAGAAAACTGTATGGTTCAAATAATATTATATTTCAGTACTTTGAGAATATAACTTTTATTCTTGTACTCAAAGTTCTTTATTTCCCATATTGAAATTGAGGAAACTGTATTAGCAAAGTACCTTGAAATGCATGTGGGGAAGGCGGGTGTCACAGCAAAAACTGTTCATTGTTGTGAATGTCCTTTTAAAAACTTCAGCAGTAATATTTCTGATGTTATGGAGAGATCAACCATGAAATTATGAAACCTTCATCAGCAAACAGAAATAATCAGCTCCACTTGGGACTGAATGCATACAAAAGCAAGGTGTTAGGAAGATTGACAAAGGAGAGCCTATGTTTAGTTCACTGAGACAACCAATAGGTGTGGTCTGACCTGTATCTCACTGATGATTCCATTGCTTTCTGTTACACTAGAACACACCTGAGAATTCAAATTTGATTATAAAGCACTTTCTAGAAACATCTGACCTTGATTTAATGAAATCGGGAGATAGGAGCAAGAGTGAATATTCTTTTTGACTTGTTGCGTTTTTAATTTAGACTCTTGAGTTGGCTTGGGTTTGGACTCGAGCCAGGGTTCTTACTAAGTTTTTGAGTATTGCACCAAAAAGCCCCATTTAACAAGAAATTGAAAGGAAAAAAAGGGTTAAAAGTACTGTTATGTCATTCTCTGACAGGGAACTTGGAACTCCCTAAAATGCGTTTTGAGCTGTCAGATTACTTCCACAGTTCTCTGCAGCCTTTCCAATTATTTTAAGATTCCATTTAAAATGCCAATATGAGGAGCATATATAGCATTTCACAATCAGTATCACTTATGCAGTATATGCAGGTAAAACTTTTAACTTTTGTCAATGTGTTAAATACAGTTTTTCTGTTGTATATCTACAGTGGTGTCTAACAGTATTTATTTAGTTACAATTTACAGGTTGGGTTCATGTCACCTTTCCATTATATTGATTGGCACTGATGTCAGTTTGAATGTTTTAATAGTTACCTTAAATATAGGTCATCATGCTTAAATATTAATTGTTCTTTAATAGTGCCTTAATGCTAGCATTCCTGTGGAAATTTTTTTATAAGCCAAGACTTTCTTATCAGCATGCTAGAGATCTACTGTTATTTTTGCTACCTTTGTTCATTAGCAGCTACATAATTAGTGGACCAGTTCCTTAAAGCTTTTGAAGTCACTTAAATATAGCATTACTTTGGAAGGAATTAGGACTTCTAGGACACCTTTTTCTTCTCTCAATAGCATCTCCTCTGTTTAACTTATGCATTTGGGAATAGGTGGGAAGGTGAGGATTATACAGAAGACTTCAGAAAAGTTGTTTTGTGTTTATTAAAGGTTGGTTTATCTTTTGAAATGTTTTTTATTTAAATGAGATGTAAAAAACCAAATTTCTGCTGGAACAGAGTGTGAGCAGCAAGAGGAAAAACGTAAGGAATTTTTAAGAGACATGAAAATACATTCTAGAAGGTCAGGATAAGTTATTTTGTATGTATCCATGCAAGGTCATCTTAAAAGCATCTTTTTTTCCCCTCCTGTAAAAAAATTTTGCATGTTCTCTTTGTGGTACAACAAATGTGAATAAGTCATGGAGTTTCTGTTTTTAATGGCACACAGGGAGTGATGTGACTAATGTTGCCTTTCCACTGCTTAGATGCTTTAGAAAAATTAAAATCTGCATAATGATACATTTTTTTGTAAAGACAAGTTGCAAGCACCAGAACATTTACAGTAAAGGGGCAAGAGTGGTTGTGGTGACAAAAGGCTGGAATCTAGCCTGGACACTGAAGTTGCAGACTAAAATTGTTAAGGACAGGATGGAGGGCAGGAAGGAAGTGTATGTGCATCAGCTGTCTGTTGGAAAGCCTGATAGTCTCCACCTTAAATGTATTTTATGTCCTGTAGTTCATAGGCAAGCCTCATGTGAGTAATCAAAGTAACAGCTTTGATCTTACTAAACAGCATAACTTTTTGCACATGTTTCTTTCAGGAGCCTCTTAACAGTGAAGATGATGTGAGTGATGAAGAAGGACAAGAACTGTTCGATACGGAAAATGTTGTTGTGTGCCAGTATGATAAGGTAAACTCTACAGAACAAGAATTCTACATTCTCTGTTCTTCTTCCTATCAAGTCATAATTTTTAAATAACATCTTTGTAACTATTAAGAACAGATAGATCTGTAAAGGTTATAGTATGAATGGTAATATAAGAATTAGCTATAGTTTGTTCTCAAAACAGGTTTGTGTGACTTTTCTAAACTTGGCAATGAGTAAAATTCAAAAAAATACGGTTGAGTTTTCTTTTTCTTCATCATGTCTTCTTGTGACCTTTAACAAAAGGTCAGTCCTCTGGGCTCAGGAGAAGTGAACTATTGTAAGTCAGTTTGTACATTTGCTGTGTCCATGAGTGGAAGTAGTCATTATGATTTAGACTTGTGGAAAACTTCCTTGATCACTAAAAATACCTCCTTGATAATAGAATAGATACCAGAAGAGAAGGTTCTTTTCTGTTATGCATCACTGAAATGGTGATGTGGAATGCTTTTGCTTATTTTGCTTTAAATTCTGCTGAACTGTCTTGCCTCCTCTATAATGACTAATTTCTTCTTGCATATTTGCCTGTGGATATGCAAGGATTCATCTATGTCTGGAATTGTTTTACATGTGTCCAAAAGCTATCAGGCACCTTTTTACTGAAGTATTATGTGGAAAGTTTATTCGGTGTGTATTTTCTTTCTTTTCCTTTGCTAGATTAATTGGACTATGATGAATAAGGATTATTTTTAAAGCAGAAAAAAGTTGTAATTTTGTTGAATAAAAACTCGTACGTTGCAAACAATGGCTTGGTTAGAAAATCGTCAGTTATGCCCAGACTGCTTAGACTTGTCGTCAGATTCAACAGAATTTAAGATGTAGATACTGATACCATTTTCCTATATCCCAGCCATCTGTCTCCTCCAGACTGTAATATAAAACTGTTAGTTTCAAGACAGTTTGTGAGGCTAGTGAGGGACCTCAGAATAGCAGTCAGAAAAGCTTGTTGGGAGCTGCTAAAGCTGAGCAACAGGAACTACTTTGAAATCCTCCCCCTCTTAAAAGTTAAGAATGTGAACTGACTTGGGAACAGTGTCCATCGTTAAGCTCTAGTATCACCTGCTTTGAACAGACTTCATCACTTACCTAGCAATCGTTCTTCAGTTTGTCTGTATACAGGATCAGGTCAGCTGTTCTGAGCAGAGTTCCCTCTTGCACAGTGTCCTGGGTCAGCTCATGGTGCGTGCCTCTGAACAATGAGACAAGGGGCAGACAGGTAGCGATGCTCATGTAGAGCATTTTACCATCCTTCTGTGAATTGTCTCTTGAGAGAGAGATAGTGACTTCATAGCAAATGGCCAGCAGAGGTTTTTTTCTTAATTTGTCATAATTTAATTTGATTATTTTTTGAATTCTTGTAAACTTTGCCTTATGATAAGAAGTTTCATAAATAAATTATGTGAGTGTGGAGAATTGCAGAATTTTTAACCCATTAGTTTCATATGATACTTCCTAGTTCTTTATTTAGAGGAGTGTTTCCCCTGCTTTCTTCATGCCTTTTATGATACTGCACACCATCATAATCCTCCTCGGTCACCTCTGAAATCAGAGCTAAACTTCGCTTGACTGTTATTTGTACAGTTGTCCAAACACTTGATTATTCTTACTTTCACTCTCCAGATCTGTTTTATTCTTCTGTATCTTATTTGATACAGGTAGATAAGCTTGAGGGAGGATCAGAGCTATTCATAACACAGGTGAACCTTCAATTTATTGTGGTGTAGGAATGTTATGCCATAGCTCATGTGTGCTTTTGACCCCACTGAACACAGAGCTGATGTTCTCACGGAAAAGTCTTAGAACATTGGGTTCGCATTCCTGACTTGTAATTGTCAACTCAAACCCACCATTTTTTCTTTCCATGTCTTGTGGTTTAACCCCAGCTGGCAACTAAGCATCACACAGCCTCTCATAAGTCGGAATTGTTTTTTCCATGTTACTACCTTCATATACTTGAATGCCACCATTGTTTTATTACACAATGAATTAGGGTAGTAACATCGTTCTGCAGCTCTTGAGTAACTGTTCCTTTGTGTCATCAGTGATGTTTTGTCATTTTCCAGATGATTAGTGAATTCTTAAACCATGCAGACTTCAGCCAGCATAAATCTCTTCTGGAATGATCTTATTTCACTATAAAAACAGTCATCTTACCCTTGTTTTACCATCTTAATTCAGTTAATTTATTCTTCTGGGGACCTTCTTTCTTACCTCATGGCAGCTCAGATGCTTCTGATTTTTGTTGAATGCCATTTGGAAAGGCAAATAGAGCATGTAAGCCAGACCTTTCCTTGTTCATTTATTTGCTGTTGTCACTGACTTTTTAGCTTGAAGTGAGCACAGACCAAACAGTAGTTTCTGCAGCCCTAATAGTAGATGATGAGACTTCCTGTCCTTGATGGAAATTGAAAAATTGGAATGGCTTTCCTTGTTATGCTTTTTGTAAAATTTTCTTAAATATTCTTTAGATCCCCTAATTACATTTTTGTTTTATCTGCAAAAGTTCTAAATTAAACATAAGAACATAAATTTAATTAAACACTCTTCTAGTGTATTTATTGACTACTTATTACTCCTGGGAAAAGGTTTCTCTCACGTAGGTGCTTTTAGTTCTAGTGATATTTTCTAACTTAAGCCCTGTACGCTGTCTTGAAGCAAGAAAAGGATTGTGTTTTGGGTTCCTGGCTTAGTGTCTTCATTACTGTTCAGTGCTTCACATTGATGTTTACTCAGTAGGCATAAGATAATTGAAGTCTTCCGATACTACAACTATTTGTGGCCCTCGTATCTTCTCTGATCTCCTTCACCTCACTGGTCAATCTGCTTTCTGTAGCCAGGTAGTATTTGGTAGTGGGCCTGAAGAGAGAAGAGTTAGTTCTGTATAGAATATTTTTTTAAAGAGAATTATGAATAGAACTGTTGTTTTATTCTTCTCCTGTGTCAACAGGAATATCCATTATAACCTGAAGATCCATTATGTCACAGGCTTCTGTAATATGGATGCCTTGGGGACCAAAAATGGAATGAATGTCGTCTTTTTTTTTTTTTTTTAGTTTCCTCTCCTAGTACTTCTTGGGTTGTTGCAAATAGCTGAACTTATCTTCTAGCTTCATCTTAAAAATTTCTTTTAAACGAGGTCTTAAAAGGGCCAATATTTTAACTGGGAAGCCTGTAGATTAAAGTGAAACCTTCATGCCATCATTCCCAATACTAGAGACGTTACTTTTGTCATTTGACACTTTATAATGAGAATTGGAATGTAAATCGTATACAGTGACCCACCATTGAGAAGAAATTACAGAATATAAGATTAGAACATGTATCAGCTTGTGCATTTTGTACTGTAGAGGTTTTCAGACTGAAAATCTTGTAAATAATCCACTTGGTTTTTATTTAATCTGATATTAATTTATGGAAACCCAGAGTCAAACTCTAATATTAGAAGTAGAAAGTTGAACAGGCCTGCTATCTATCTATACATAACATAATCCAACTTGTTTTCATGCAGAATGGAGTTTAGACAAGAGGTACAAATAAAACTTAGTGTTTCAATCTTTCAGGGCTGGTTTAAAACATTAGTCTTTTCATTACAGTGGTTGAAATGGGGATTTCTGGCTTTCAAGTGGAGTTTCACATATTAACGATAATTTAATCAGTTAAAGCAGCACAGGAGGATATAGCTTTCTTTTTCCTTTTCAACCACTTATGAAAATGCTTTGGATTTTGGAATGCCTCTGTACTTGCATGGTTTTATGACAGTTGCTGTCCTGGTTTAAAAAATGAAAATAGAAAATACTTATATGTATAGAAATAGTTTTTATTTTTCATAGCTAAATACAGAATTTATTTTCAAGGTATTTGTCGTAATTTAGTAATGTATGTCTAATAGTTTGTGGTTTTTTTTTCCTTGCCCTGATAATTTACTTGCGTATTATTACCTATTTCTGATGCAGAGTAATAGTTCAATTTTTTTCCCTGTTTTTAGATTCATAGAAGTAAAAATAAATGGAAATTTCATCTCAAAGATGGCATCATGAATCTTAACGGAAGAGATTATGTATTTTCCAAAGCCATTGGGGATGCAGAATGGTGAAGTTTTAAAAGACAAAACAAAAAACTCCCTGTAAAAGGAAAAAAAATCAAAAGCAGGAAAGGTTGAGACTTGGATGTATACTCCAGTCAAAATGTGTTATCTGCACATCAGAAAAAATCAATAAGCAAAAGTATTGGAACAAAGGTAAAATGTGGCAACAAAGACACTACTTCAGATGAGCAAGCCATGGACTGTAGCAGCTATATCATTGTCTGGGAGCTGGTTTTGTGTGTTAGGAATACCTTAATTATCAATTCTACATACAGGTACCTACAGCTGGTATTTAGCATGTAAGGCTTTGTTGTCCCCGCCCCCCACCCC